CTCTTCAACAGATGGTGCTGGCAAAACTGGACAGCTACATGTAGGAGAATGAAACTGGACCATTGTCTAACCCCATATACAAAGGTAAACTCAAAATGGATCAAAGACCTGAATGTAAGTCACGAAACCATTAAACTCTTGGAAAAAAACATAGGCAAAAACCTCTTAGACATAAACATGAGTGATCTCTTCTTGAACATATCTCCCCGGGCAAGGAAAACAACAGCAAAAATGAGCAAGTGGGACTACATTAAGCTGAAAAGCTTCTGTACAGCGAAAGACACCATCAATAGAACAAAAAGGAACCCTACAGTATGGGAGAATATATTTGAAAATGACAGATCTGATAAAGGCTTGACGTCCAGAATATATAAAGAGCTCACACGCCTCAACAAACAAAAAACAAATAACCCAATTAAAAAATGGGCAGAGGAACTGAACAGACAGTTCTCCAAAAAAGAAATACAGATGGCCAAGAGACACATGAAAAGATGCTCCACATCGCTAATTATCAGAGAAATGCAAATTAAAACTACAATGAGGTATCACCTCACACCAGTAAGGATAGCTGCCATCCAAAAGACAAACAACAACAAATGTTGGCGAGGCTGTGGAGAAAGGGGAACCCTCCTACACTGCTGGTGGGAATGTAAATTAGTTCAACCATTGTGGAAAGCAGTATGGAGGTGCATCAAAATGCTCAAAACAGACCTACCATTTGACCCAGGAATTCCACTCCTAGGAATTTACCCTAAGAACGCAGCAATCAAGTTTGAGAAAGACAGATGCACTCCTATGTTTATCGCAGCACTATTTACAATAGCCAAGAATTGGAAGCAACCTAAATGTCCATCTGTAGATGAATGGATAAAGAAGATGTGGTACATATACACAATGGAATACTACTCAGCCATAAGAAGTGGAAAAATCCAACCATTTGCAGCAACATGGATGGAGCTGGAGAGTATTATGCTCAGTGAAATAAGCCAAGCGGAGAAAGAGAAATACCAAATGATTTCACTCATCTGAGGAGTATAGGAACAAAGGAAAAACTGAAGGAACAAAACAGCAGCAGAATTACAGAACCCAAAAATGGACTAACAGGTACCAAAGGGAAAGGAACTGGGGAGGATGGGTGGGCAGGGAGGGATAAGGGGGGGGAAGAAGAAGGGGGGTATTAAGATTAGCATGCATGGGGGGGAGGGAGAAAGGGGAGGGTGGGCTGCACAACACAGAGAGGACAAGTAGTGACTCTACAACATTTTGCTAAGCTGATGGACAGTAACCGTAATGTGGTTGTTAGGGGGGACCTGATATAGGGGAGAGCATAGTAAACATAGTATTCTTCAGGTAAGTGTAGATTAAAAATTTAAAAAAAAAAAAAGAAAGAAAGAAAGAAAAGGGGGATTACTCCTTAACAGGATAAAACTATTGGTAAATCAAAGATCAACGCATGCTTTAAATATCCTTAATGTTGATCACTTAAAGGGTGTCAGATGATCAGCTATGGAGGTACTCTTTTCTGATAATATTCCTTTCTCTTAATAAAAAAAAAAAAAAAAAGCAGTTACTGTGTGCTGACCTCCAATGAGTTCTGCACAGTGGTATAGAGGGCATGTCAAAGTGTGGGCAAAGGGTCTGTTTGTTTCTACGCAGAAGATCAAGGCCTAGCTTGGATACCCAGAAAATGAACTAAGATACGATATGAGGAGGAGCTTCCGGCATCAGCACTCTCTGGAGGACTCGTGCCGGGGGATGATCATCAAAAAGCCTCCACAGGGATCCGGACGATGCTGCGGTTGTGGCTGCATCCAGCCCACCGTCTCCTGGACTTGCCATAAGAAGGAGGAGGGAGATGTCTAGGCTGGCATGTGCATACAGTGAGACAACGAATTTGACTGGATCTGTACTGTTGGAACTCAACCAGGAGTTGGGAGGGGTGCAAGTTGTAGCACCCCAAAATCTCATGACTATAGACTATCTATGGTTAAAAGAACATATGGGATGTGAACAGATCCCAGAAATGGGCTGCTTTAATTTGTCTGATGGTTCAAGTACAGTTGGACAATATCCATCATATCATAGATAAATTTTCACAAATGCCTAGGGTGCCTAAATGGTTTTCTTGGCTTCACTGGAGATGGCTGGTAATTATAGATTTGCTTTGTTTATGTCACCGTATTCCTATTATGTTAATATGTGTGTGCAAATTAGTTAGTAGTTTAAAACCTATACATACTTAAGGTACTATACAAGAAGATATGTCAAAGAAATAATCAATCCTCCCAAGTTTCCTTCATATGCTACATCTATAGCTTTTCTTCTTCCTTCCTAATTACAACCCTTAAATAGAATTCGTGCCTCATATCGAATTTACCGAGTATCATAATTCCTCCAGGTGGTAAAGATACCTCGAGACAAGTGCTGGGCATAGAAGCCACAGGGCATAAATCTGCAAAGAAGTAAAAAGCTAACCTTTTCAAACAATATGGCTTCTCTCTCACTTACCAACTTTACATTTCCCTGTATGGCCCCGGAAGATGACTGGTTAGCCAGAGACGGGTAAGATTCCTCAAGGGAGGAACAACCTAAGACAGGCACAGTCGCAGGGGGGCCATCAGGTGAGAAATTGGGGATCAACAGTGGTGAGGCTTAGAACCTCACCCCCCCTGTTTTGAGAGAAATCTTCTGCATCCGTGGATGTTTTAATGCCCTTGTCTAGCTTGGATTAACACATAGTCTACAGGCACACACCTGATCATCTACAATTGCTCTCTTACAACACTAAACTATGTTTTCTACCTTTATCTTGCATCTACCTACCACTTCAGCATTTTATTAAAAATTAAAGTAATAATAATAAAGGGAGAAATGTGGGATCCACATATAAATCAAGTATAAAAATCAAACGAATATTCATATTTGACCTGATTGTTTATAGTTCATAATGCGTGATCAAAACTGAAAGTTTCTGTGATGACTGCCCTTGTACTGTTCACGATGTAAGAACTTATTCACTAGGTAAGAATTTGTTCACCATGTAATAACTTGTTCGTTATGCTTCAGAAGATTGGAGATTGACAAGAATTAGGCTTGGGGTGGATTAATGATTGTGCATTGAGCATTGACTCCTCTATACAGAATTTTATTGTTGTTAACCATTTGATCAATAAATATGAGAGATGCCCTCTCAAAAAAAAATTATTAAAATACTTCAATAAGTAAAAAAATAAAATTAAAAATTAAAAAAATAAAAAAAAACGTTAGGCACCTATGACGTGCCAAGTAAACACTACAGATACCAAAATAAACTATAGAAGGGCCCTTATGAAACTGAAAATCTAGACAGCAATGTACACTGCTGTCTGTGACACAATATAAGTCATGCAGAGTTGAAAGAGGAATGTTTAAAATGCAATGAAGGATGAATGTTTTTTTAAAACGCAATGATGGATGGACTGTCAGACTTCGAGCATGACGATTTAAGTTCCACAGACTCACTCCCTAGAAAAACTATATGTGCAAAAAAAATGTCATTTAAAGTCTCTGGAAATGGAAAGCAAACAGCAAATCAAATATTTATTTAAGAAAATCTACTCAAACTTTAACAATAGCCAATTTCTGTGGTCTTCTGAATCAAGACACACTCCTATCTTTCCCCCTCCAATTTGATAAGACAGAAACTCCATTCCAGACAAGTGTACCCAGAAACACAGCACTAAGAATTCAAGCAACTCAGGCATAAGCAAGAACTCCAATTGCTTTTTCTCTCATCTGCAATTTGGCTTACAGACACACAAAAGGTCTTCCTTTCTATTTTTCTGAAGTAATAGTTGTTCTGGGTTTTTTCTGAGCTTATCGGATAATCACACCATTTTAGCTTAAATAACCATAAGGTAAAATATGCAGATTAAAATAATAAAATAGCAGCAGCAACAATTACACATAAATATCAATAATGTGAACAGTCAAAATTCAAATTGAACTAATAAATTAAACAAGATCCATTTAAACCAATTTGACAGAAAGGACCTAAAAATTGGAAAATACAAAATGTCAACAAAGATGTGCAGAAAAGGTTATCTCAGATACAATCGGTAAGAATATAATTGGTATAATCTTTTTGAGCAGTAACTTGTTGATACTATGACCCATTCCTTAAATTCTACTATAAGGAATTTATTCTAGACTCATAATGGGCACAGATATACAAAGATGTTTGTTGCAGCAGTATGTAATATCAAAAAATGTAAATAATCTACATGTTAACAAACAAAGGATTGCTTAATTTATGGCATAGGCAGCTGTTCATATCAGCAAGATAGACCTTAAAGTATAACATGGAATGGTGTACAATATGCTTCAGTAACTCATACATAATCTCACTCTATACAGTACAGAGAGTATGATCTAAACTTTACCAAAATAAGTTTCTCAAAAGGAAATCTTATGTCTAAACCAAGGCACAAGAAAGTTAACAGTGGTTTATCTCTGAGTCATGCGAAGAAGTTTCAAGTGGGAAGAGAAACTTTTAACTTCTTATCCACATACATTTCCATACTTTATATAATTTTTACCATGATAATGTACTTCGTGATATTTTTAGAATACTTTTAAATTATTATTCTATTTATTAGTGTTACTTTAATGTTTAAATTAACTAATCACAGGGTATATATTCACTTCAAGACAATAAATGTTAAAATATTATCAAAAGAATAAATCATTGATATTCTCTAACAAGCAGATATTTCTAAGTCATTATAATAAATAATCATAGAAAACTAATTGACTTGAAGGGAATGCTTTTAGTGTGGATTCTTAACGAACACCAGTTTAGAGTCCTAAACTGAGCTAGATGTTACAGGGAATTGAGTGAAAGAAGATAGAATGCCCTCAGAGATGGCCAACAGGACAAAAATGAAACAACTAGCAAACAATTTTAAATAATATGGTAAAATGTATTAATGGTTTTTAAAAATCTAATCAAACAGACTCACCAAAAGGCAACTCAAATCTTGTATCAAGCAGAATTTTATGGGGAGTTGGGTTTTTAGTTCCACAGATCTCATCATCTTTCATTAATGTCTCTGCCTCCAATGTGGACCACTCTCCAGGACCTTCCTAGAAAACAGAGATGTAAGATTAAACTTTTCTCTTTCTTGACTCCCCTTTTGGTGTTAAGAGCCAGGTGTTTTTCTCTGAATCTCCTTGTTGGAGAGCTTTAACAACTCACATCCTGATGAGGCAAACACACCCCTGTCACCACTTGCCTCTCCTACATGTGAATTGTGTTCTCCCTCTGCTGTGAGAAAGCAGCTTTCACTGTGCTCAGCTCTCTGCAATCCCACTGAGGATAGAATTTCCAGAGTACCAAACTCAAAACTGAACACCCATTGATCAATATTTACTCTGCACAATTCTTAATGACTGTGTTATTTAATATGTGTTGCTACTTCTAATAAGAAAAAGCTACTAATATTACTAGTTAAGTAGACCTGAGCTGGAGCCGCAGTGAACTGCCTATCAGCCTAGGGTAGTAGCTTTAGCTGAACTAAAAGAAATTTAGGTAACAGAAGCACACCTTCACTATCCCCATGTTCAGAGAAAACTCATAGTCCATGTTAAAGCCAAATAGGAGCACAATAGATTCTGTCCAGGTTCAAAGTAAATATCTATGGGGAAATGATCCTGAGGTATGTTCTACTCTGGGAAAAAGGAGTAGGAGTTTAGTCTTGAAAATAATGTATAGAGACAGTGTGAATACCAATTGCCAAGCCTGATAGTTGGTTACTATCACAGTTATGTGTGAAGAAAGAAGGCTGAAAACAGTTCCCTGGGGACTGGTGACTCAAGAACAAAACAGGGAACATGACCTAACCGGCAAGATGAAGAACTTTAATGGGACTTCTCCTAGGATAGTGCCTTAGAGGGAATGCAGAAACGACAGGTAACATAGATCTCACACACACACACACACACACACACACACACACAGAGAGAGAGAGAGAGAGAGAGAGAGAGAGAGAGAGAGAGAGAGAGAGAGTATTCAGATGGGGCTGTCTACTTGACAAGGCTAATGAGGTGCACTGGCACCTCTGAGTCCAGCCACAGGGCAGAGGAAAGTTTAAATTTAAATAAATCCCCTGAACCTCTGGGTGAGGTTAGGAATAGGCTGGTTGCATGCCCTCTAATTAGAAAGAGGACAGAGCAATCTGAGATGCATGGATGAATATTAGCTCAATAAAAGCTAGGATGGGAAGAAGCAAGAGCTAGAACCATACCTCCAAATGGGCAATGCACTGACTGACCTCATCTGACTGACGAATAGTCTTCAGTGCAATCCACACAGTCCCCACCATCGTGTCCCAGATCAGTCCTTTGTTCCACACCTCCACACTCAAACCCAGGTCCAGGCGACTAATCTCACTAAAAGAAAAAAGAAAGCCCCTTAAAGAAAGCCAGATAAAATGAAAGAAACAGCTACATCTCCTGTTTTGCTAAACCTTTAATACTTTAGCACCAGGATCCCCATCGTCAGGGAAAACTAAAATGTCCCATAATGCTGCAACAACTCTTTTTATTTTTAATTTTTTATTAAGGTATTATTGATACACACTCTTATATACACTCTTTCAAGGTTTCACATGAAAAAACAATGTGGTTACTACATTTACCCATATTATCAACTCCCCACCCCTATCCCAATGCAAACACTGTCCATCAGTGTAGTCAGATGCCACAGATCCACTATGTGCCTTCTTTGTGCTACACAGTTCTCCCTGTAATCCCCCACACCATGTGTACCAAACCTAATACCCCTCAATCCCCTCCTCCCTCCCTCCCCACCCACCATCCCACAGCCCTTCCCTTTAGTAACCACTAGTTCATTCTTGAAGTCTCTGAGTCTACTGCCATTTTGTTCCTTCAGTTTTGCTTCATTGTTATGAGGGAAATCATTTGGCACTTGTCTTTCTCCGCCTGGCTTATTTCACTGAGCACTACGTCCTCCAGCTCCATCCATGTTGTTGCAAATGGTAGGATTTGTTTCTTTCTTAAGGCTGAATAGTATTCCATTATGTACATGTACCATGTCTTCTTTATTCATTCATCTACTGATGGACACCTAGGATCCTTCCATATCTTGGCTATTCTAAAAAGTGCTGCAATAAACATAGGGGTGCATATGTCTTCTTGAATCTGAGTTGTATTCTTTGGGTAAATTCCAAGGAGTGGGAATTCTGAGTCAAATGGTATTTCTATTTTTAGTTTTTTGAGGAACTTCCATATTGCTTTCCACAATGGTTGAACTAGCTTACGTTCCGACCAGCAGTGTAGGAGGGTTCCCCTTTCTCCGCATCCTCACCAGCATTTGCTGCTCTTTGTCTTTTCGATGCTGGCCATCTTTACTGGTGTGAGGTGATATCTCATTGTGGTTTCAATTTGCATTTCCCTGATGATTAGTGATGTGAAGCATCTTTTCATGTGTCTATTGGCTATCTGAATTTCTTATTTGGAGAACTGTCTCTTCATATCCTCTGCCCATTTGTCAATTGGGTTATTTGCTTTTTGCATGTTGAGGTGTGTAAGTCCTCTATATATTTAGGATGTTAATCCCTTGTGGGATATGTCATTTACAAATATATTCTCCCATACTGTAGGATGCCTTTTTGTTCTGTTGATGGTGTCCTTTGCCATACAGAAACTTTTTAGTTTGATGCAGTCCCATGAGTTTATTTTTGCTTTTGTTTCCCTTGCTCAAGGAGATGTGTTCAGGAAGAAGTTGGTCATGCTTATGTTCAGGAGATTTTTGCCTATGTTGTCTTCTAAGAGTTTTATGGTTTCATGACTTACATCCAGGTCTTTGATCCATTTCAAGTTTACTTTTGTGTATGGGGTTAAACAGTAATCCAGTTTCATTCTCTTACATGCAGCTGTCCAGTTTTGCGAACACCAGCTGTTGAAGAGGCTGTCATTTCCCCATTATATATCCGTGGCTCCTTTATCATTTATTAATTGCCCATATATGGTTCAGTTGATATCAGAGCTCTCTAGTCTGTTCCATTGGTCTATGGTTCTGTTCTTGTGCCAGTACCAAATTGTCTTGATTATTGTGGCTTTGCAGGTAAGTTTGAAGTTGGGGAGCATAATCCCCCCAGCTTTATTTTTTCTTCTCTGGATTGTTTTGGCTATTCAGGGTCTTTTGTGCTTCCATATGAATTTTAGAATGATTTTCTCTAGTTCGTTTAAGAATGCTGTTGGTATTTTGATAGGTATTGCATTGAATCTGTAGTTTGCTTTAGGCAGGATGGCCATTTTGACAAAATTAATTCTTCCTATTCATGAGCATGGGATGTGTTTCCATTTATTGGTATCTTCTTTAATTTCTCTTATGAGTGTCTTGTAGTTTTCAGAGTATAGGTCTTTCACTTCCTTGGTTAGGTTTATTCCTAGGTATTTTATTCTTTTTGATGCAACTGTGAATGGAATTGTTTTCCTGATTTCTCTCTCTACTAGTTCATTGTTAGTGTATAGGAATGCCACATATTTCTGTGTGTTAATTTTGTATCCTGCAACTTTGCTGAATTCAGATATTAGATCTAGTAGTTTTGAAGTGGATTCTTTAGGGTTTTTTATGTACAATATCATGTCATCTGCAAACAGGGACAGTTTAACTTCTTCCTTGCCAATCTGGATGCCTTTTATTTCTTTGGGTGCTGCAACCATTCTTTAGGTTCCTAAAAACCTATGTAGGATATCCATAGGAAAATGTCTTTGTCAGACTTTGTCCCTCTCTCCTATGGAGCTATTTTCATGATTACATTAATACAGTTTCACAGAAAAAAAAAAAGCCAAGCAATGAGGGCATTACTGCCTGCCTGTAATCTCCACCCTTAGGCAACAGTTTTATATGTTTTATTGTTAATACTAACACTGTCTCCAACTCTATCTATGGACTGTATACAGGAAATTTTTAGGAAAAGGAAAGAGTTCTTTACAAGATTTATGAAAGGGAGTTCATGGAAGTAGAAGGACCACTGAGAACATCTAAATTTGACAGGAACATGTAATCAGAGGCAGGTGAGGGACACCAGAATGTGCCAGTTAACACTACTACTACCAGCCCTGGAGAATCCATTAGTCATTATCAGTTAAAGTAGGCACTGTCATTTATAAACAAAAGGATTAATACAGGTTGAGGATAAATACAATAACTTCCCTGTAATAGCAACTAGGAAGAATATTATTTGAAAAGAAATCATTCCAGCAAAATTCAGATAACCACTAAGCAAAAGTAGTGTCATGCATGGTAGAATATCAGCTTGGAAGGGCTAACTCAAAAGTAATTGTAGTCTTAAGGTGGAACAAGTAAACACTTATATTAATGATGAAAACATTCTACAGAAAGCTCTTACTGAAACACATTGTTATTTAAGGAGAAATGAAAGAGAAAAATGAAAAAAAAAGAAAGCCAATTCCAGCAGAAAGGTGTTCTCAAGAAAACAGCTATTCATCACAAATTTCAGATTTGTGTTTAGAGAAAGCTTGGGTTCCCTATTGTAATATTAAGATATACATTCTCAGATTCAGAAATTTGGGATGTGGAATTATAGCTATAGAATTCATATTAGGTGTGTTGAAAATTAGTAAAGCAAAGAAAATTTGCCCTTTTTACATAAACACAATAGAACAGAGAATGTACTAACAAGGTCATTTGTTCAGTTAATTAATATTTCCTAAGCATATATAATACATATGTCTTGATACTCTGGGGAAGACACATAATCCAGGACCCAGTTCCTGTCTTCAAAAACTTACAGCTAAATGGAGAGCTGTTCAAAGCCACAAAGTAGGTAGTTAGGTGTTAACAGTGTTAAGTTAGGGTGTTAACAGTGGGGAAACTAAACTTTTGTCACAGTTTCATTATTGTTTAGCCTTGTAAAATATATGTAATGACCACAAATCTTTTGAATCTGGAAGAAAAATTGCTCAGGTATAATTATATAATATCAAAGGAAGTCTTAAATATCATCTCAAGCCAACAGAGTAAAAAAAAAAAAAAAAAGCCAGAGGTTTTTACAGCTTTGATTGGACAGATAATGATGTTCTTCAGGGACCTCTGGGGAGTTAGGCCCAAACAATGAGAGTATCTTCTATAAGAAGATTCTTACCTCATCCATGTTTGCCCAGCAGGCCCAACTAAGAAAAGTCTGAGGGCTCTATTTATGCCTCATTCCCACAGCTCTAGGAAGTTTCTTTTCTCTATCAATGGTTAACTCAAATTAATGGTATATATGCATGTGTGTATACAAGATACTGGGCTAGGCAAACTCAGTGAGTGAAGATGACCTCCTTGCCCTTAAGAAATGAACTTAGTCCTGAAAATAAGGTACAAAAATATTTAAGGTAAAATATTAAAGGTAATAATCTTCCACATCAGAAGGAAAAAGGAGAAAGGGAGGCAGGAGACCAAAAATGGAGTTGCCAGTGACAAAAGGACAGGGTAGGAGGAATAGGAATAGATGCAGAGAGGTGAAGAATGTAGCTAATCAAACCCCTGTGGTAGAAGGGGAGAAGACAAAATTCACTCAAGATGGGAGACAGAAGAAAATTCAAACATATCACAGCAGAGTTGAAAGGGGAAGTGCTATGGGAAACTGGAAAACAAACACACAAGATTAAAGCTAGCTACGCTGATGGGAGCTGCAGAAGATCCCTATCTGTCACGTGCTGGGATCAACTGTAACAGTGATTCTTATAGCCAACTAGAAGTCATAACAAAGTAGTATTGCTCGATTTATATACCATAGCCAGACATGTGGTATGGCTAACAGTGGTATGGGAAGAAACCTGAATAAACTGTTCATAGCTGACTGCATGCTACATGTATAAAGAAAGGAATACATGGTCTCACTCATGTCAGTTTAACAGAGGAAATGAATGAGGTTTATGATCTTGAAAGAGAGGCAACCAGTGAGAAATTTGACACCACTGGCCTCTTTCTTCTTGAGACATTAGTTCTCCCTCTGCTTCCAGTACACCATCTCCTGTTTCTCCTTCTTCCTCTCTGCTCATTCCTTTTAAGTCCTCTTTGTCTCCTCTTTAAATGCTGGTTCTCTCCAGGCCCTACACCAGGCCTTTTTTGCAACCTACACACTTTCTGCTTAAGCTTTCTCATCTATACCTGTGACTTCAACTGACCATAACATTTCTCCAATCCAGACTTCTTACTTTGATCCAGGTTCAGGTTTCTATCTTCTGTACCTATCTTCCTGTACTTGTCCTATAAGACCCTCAAATATAAGCTTGTCCATAACTGATCTTACATTATCCCCTATCCTAATGAGCAGCATGTCACCCACCCAATCATGCAAGTCTTGGTTCTACCTCCTTAACATCTTCTATCTATCTTTTTTGCCTATCCCTTCTGCTATTGTCTTAGCCCAACCCCTCAGAATCTTACTTTTTAACTATTATAATCAAGTTTCCTAAATCATACTATAAGAAGCAACATATTAAAAGCCCAGAGGATTGGAGTATTTCCCGATAAAAATAACCATCCCTTTGTGTCTGAGAGGCACTATAAAACTTACAAAGTAATTTCACTTCAATTTCAAATTTCTCAGAAATTTTAGCACATTTTCTTGTTTGATCCCCTCATGCCCACCTTCCCAAAACACAAACATAACCTTGTAAGAAAGACAGACCTTTACAGATAAGGACACCGGCACTCAGAGAAATTAAATGATTTTTGCCCAGTCCTTCAAATGATGATCTGCATTTCTTTCCTCTCTTCTAAAACAGGAAAAAATTTCCGTAAAGACAATAAAAAGGGAATGTCAAGTTTTTAAAGCCAGAGCTTACAACCATAATACACTAATTTTTCTGTCATATATGTGATAAATTCTACTAACAGTTACTCATTTTTATTATTAGATGATGGTAGAGCATTTTACTCCATAAAGCAAAAGGATTATAAGCACAGATATCCTCATTTTCTAAAGCAGGTGCCTTGGGTTGCTCAGGTATAATTATATAATATCAAAGGAAGTCTTAAATATCATCTCAAGCCAACAGAGTAAAAAAAAAAAAAAAAGCCAGAGGTTTTTACAGCTTTGATTGGACAGATAATGATGTTCTTCAGGGACCTCTGGGGAGTTAGGCCCAAACAATGAGAGTATCTTCTATAAGAAGATTCTTACCTCATCCATGTTTGCCCAGCAGGCCCAACTAAGAAAAGTCTGAGGGCTCTATTTATGCCTCATTCCCACAGCTCTAGGAAGTTTCTTTTCTCTATCAATGGTTAACTCAAATTAATGGTATATATGCATGTGTGTATACAAGATACTGGGCTAGGCAAACTCAGTGAGTGAAGATGACCTCCTTGCCCTTAAGAAATGAACTTAGTCCTGAAAATAAGGTACAAAAATATTTAAGGTAAAATATTAAAGGTAATAATCTTCCACATCAGAAGGAAAAAGGAGAAAGGGAGGCAGGAGACCAAAAATGGAGTTGCCAGTGACAAAAGGACAGGGTAGGAGGAATAGGAATAGATGCAGAGAGGTGAAGAATGTAGCTAATCAAACCCCTGTGGTAGAAGGGGAGAAGACAAAATTCACTCAAGATGGGAGACAGAAGAAAATTCAAACATATCACAGCAGAGTTGAAAGGGGAAGTGCTATGGGAAACTGGAAAACAAACACACAAGATTAAAGCTAGCTACGCTGATGGGAGCTGCAGAAGATCCCTATCTGTCACGTGCTGGGATCAACTGTAACAGTGATTCTTATAGCCAACTAGAAGTCATAACAAAGTAGTATTGCTCGATTTATATACCATAGCCAGACATGTGGTATGGCTAACAGTGGTATGGGAAGAAACCTGAATAAACTGTTCATAGCTGACTGCATGCTACATGTATAAAGAAAGGAATACATGGTCTCACTCATGTCAGTTTAACAGAGGAAATGAATGAGGTTTATGATCTTGAAAGAGAGGCAACCAGTGAGAAATTTGACACCACTGGCCTCTTTCTTCTTGAGACATTAGTTCTCCCTCTGCTTCCAGTACACCATCTCCTGTTTCTCCTTCTTCCTCTCTGCTCATTCCTTTTAAGTCCTCTTTGTCTCCTCTTTAAATGCTGGTTCTCTCCAGGCCCTACACCAGGCCTTTTTTGCAACCTACACACTTTCTGCTTAAGCTTTCTCATCTATACCTGTGACTTCAACTGACCATAACATTTCTCCAATCCAGACTTCTTACTTTGATCCAGGTTCAGGTTTCTATCTTCTGTACCTATCTTCCTGTACTTGTCCTATAAGACCCTCAAATATAAGCTTGTCCATAACTGATCTTACATTATCCCCTATCCTAATGAGCAGCATGTCACCCACCCAATCATGCAAGTCTTGGTTCTACCTCCTTAACATCTTCTATCTATCTTTTTTGCCTATCCCTTCTGCTATTGTCTTAGCCCAACCCCTCAGAATCTTACTTTTTAACTATTATAATCAAGTTTCCTAAATCATACTATAAGAAGCAACATATTAAAAGCCCAGAGGATTGGAGTATTTCCCGATAAAAATAACCATCCCTTTGTGTCTGAGAGGCACTATAAAACTTACAAAGTAATTTCACTTCAATTTCAAATTTCTCAGAAATTTTAGCACATTTTCTTGTTTGATCCCCTCATGCCCACCTTCCCAAAACACAAACATAACCTTGTAAGAAAGACAGACCTTTACAGATAAGGACACCGGCACTCAGAGAAATTAAATGATTTTTGCCCAGTCCTTCAAATGATGATCTGCATTTCTTTCCTCTCTTCTAAAACAGGAAAAAATTTCCGTAAAGACAATAAAAAGGGAATGTCAAGTTTTTAAAGCCAGAGCTTACAACCATAATACACTAATTTTTCTGTCATATATGTGATAAATTCTACTAACAGTTACTCATTTTTATTATTAGATGATGGTAGAGCATTTTACTCCATAAAGCAAAAGGATTATAAGCACAGATATCCTCATTTTCTAAAGCAGGTGCCTTGGGTACACACCACCACAGTCTCTTACATGTGTAACCACATTCCTTCAAGGAGCTTTCTGAGAATCAAAGAAAGTTTAAGTTATGTTTAATATCATGCTAAGTATCTTGGTCTATGTCCTAATTCTACCCACTGGGAAAATCTAAGTAGTATTTTCACCCACATAAATTAATTAGTTTACTTGCATTCATAATTCATCTCTAAGAACAGATCACAAATCCAGGAGAGAGCAAAACTGCAGATGTACTTTACCTACATACAACTCACTTGTTCCTGTAACTCTGTAGTTTTCAAAATGAATATTTAACATGTTAACATATTAAAATATGGAACATATTTTATAAACATTAGACATACACAAAATCTTCAGCCTCTAATTGTTTAATCTAGTGGATTAAACCTTGGAAATTACCTTGGAAAGATTATCAAATATTACAGGCACTCTGCTGCAGCAAAATACTTACAACATAAAATCTTGTTCCCAGGAAGGCTGATCACCACGAACTGCTACAGTTGTGCTTTTCACATTCTGCACTTTCAAGGTCACGTATGTGTTAAATTTATCTTTGAAAAAATGCAAAATGAAGATACAACTTAGTGCTCAGATAATTACCCAATCTCACAAAGCCCTTGGCATTAATATCCAAATTAAAGTATTACATGAAGAAAAGATGAAGCTGTATGTTATACAATATATCATTCTTAGCATATAGAGCTGCAAAAAAAATTGGAACACACATACTATTCTCAAATGCATTATCTATTACAGTGTTTTTCAAATTTAAGAAATGTTTTATATTTGACCCAGCAGACACACATACAAATGAAAATAAAAGCTTTGTGAAATACAAGATATGATACATTGATATTTCCTAATCTATTAAAATGTTAATTATAACAAAATTGATTTTATAGCACACCTGCAGTTTGCAGACAAGGTAAGTAAATTTAATAAAATATAGAAAGTAACTACCATAAGAGAAAAAGTGATAAAGGATTGCATAAGAGGAAAGGGCTCTAGCTCTTCATAGGGACAAGAACTGATGAAAAATCCTCATGAAGGAAGTGGATTTCAAATTGCTAAATCCAGGTTGGCCTAATGCACAACTTACCTAAAAAGAAATAGTATCACACAGCTGGGGAAAGGAAATTCTCTACCCTGAGACTATAAATCAGTACTAAACAAAGATAGAAAACCTGAAACTCAAAAACTCAGAAGGCTGACCTACTGCTGCTTTACAGCACATTTGGCCTTCACCTTTGCATCAGCGATGAGTAAGGGCACTGAATTGAGACTCACTTTTCTATGTAAGAAATTAATCATAACTTCATGAAATGAAAAAAGATAACTATCATTTTTTACTCAAATTGGCAAAGAAACTGCTTAAAATTATTATTACCTAATATTAGAGGTGTGAGAAAATGGGCCCCATCTTGTACTTCTAGCACAAAAGGTAAAATATTTCAAGTATCATTAAAAAGTATATAGTTTTACATTTAGACATATATTTAGATATAATTTACTACAGTAATACCAAGGATATATGCAGATACAAGCCCAACTATATGAATGAATTTCCATCGACACCAGTAGTAGCAGTGTAGCAGACTACTAAGCTATGCTTTCTGACACGGGATTTCATACTCCAGTCCCCACATCTAACCACAGCTGACCAGACCAGGGGTAGATGCTATCCAAGAGCAGCCAATCTATGGGCTGGCTCAAAACTGAGACCAATATGATTCCCCCTCAGAAGACTAAATAGGGAAAACAAAGAAATAGTGACAGTTGGTGGTTGGTGCTGAAACTCAAAGGAGAGACACATAAATTTCACTGGAGCAGTCATTACAGGCTGTATGCAAGACAGGGTAAGCACAGAAAGTCAGCTGGAAGATAAGAGAACAGAACAGATTCTCAGAAAAAAGACCTAACCCAGGGCCAGTGGAAAGAGCAGTAGGCTCAGAAACTGCTTTAGTTCCTGTTACACACCTAACGTGCAGTTTTTCTTATTTTCCTAGCTTCCCAATCATGTTTTTTTTTCCAGTAATCACTAGTATCCTCCCTTTTCCCTAGCAGTAACCAGAGACTTTATAACTTGACATTCACAATTAAGGAAATGTGTATTAAAATAAGGAGATACCACTTTCACCATCAGATAAGGCAAAGATTTAAAAGTTTCATATTATATAATATTAATAAAGACATGGGAAAATAAACACTCATATACTTTTAGTCTGAGTATAATCTAGCAAAAACTTTCAGAAAGCAATTTGGGAACAGCTACCAACTTTTTAAAAAATATATATACTTTGGACCATTAATTCTCTACTTCTGGACTCTAGTGTACAGATACACCTGCAAAAAGAGGCAAAAATAAATGTGTAAGAACCACTTACTGCTTGAAAACAGCAAAAAATTGGAAATGGCCTAAATATTCATCAATCAGGGACCCAGGGCACAAATCTACAACAAAATTCTGTATAATACTTTAAAAGAACCAGATATATGTATACACACACACGACTTTCATGATATGTGGCTGGAATAAAAGCAGGTTGCACAAAGATATATATAGTTGATTCATTAGTGTATGTATGCACATACATAGAAAACATCTAAAAAGGTATATAAAAATCTATAAATAGCTACTTCTGATAAACAGAATTGAGTTTGCCAAGAGGTAAAGGGATTTTAACTTTTTACTAGATATAGACAGATTTAATTAATGCTTTATACAACAGCATTCATTTTTTTCCAGCTTTACTGGGGTGCAAAAGACAATTAAAAATTGTATATATTTAAGGTATACAACTTGATAATTTAATATACATATACATTGTGAAATAATGACAATAAAGCTGATTAACATATTCATTACCAAGTCACAGTTACCATTTTCCTTGAGAACACTTAAGATTACCCTCTTCGCAAATTTCAAGCATACAATACTTGTTAACTATAGACACATTTTTATACATTAATCTCCAGAAATTATCCATCTTGCTTAACTGAAACATTATATCTCCTTGACCAACACCTCCCCATATTATTTTTAGTCAAGAATTAAATGAATTTAGGGAATTTAACTTAATGAATTAAATGGAATTAATGATTGTTTAAAGCCTGCTTTTAAATCACAGCAAGTATGGGAGGAAAGGGCCTAATAATTAAAGGCTGACCTTACCTGGTGAACCCTGGAATTTGGCTCTTTTGACTGCAAGACAAAAAAAGAGGACACCATGAAGAATTTTTGCCAACTTATTGATTTAACCAATATTTCTTCAGCACCTACTATATGCCAAAGTTAGAGTTTAGACTAAATTTTAAGTCGAAGTCTTTAGGACAGAAAATAAGCTGGAACTTCTGATCAAAGCTGAAGGCAGAGAATTAGAATGACCCTTAAAAGTCATCCAACCTAATCTCATACTCTGGGCAGAAATCTCTTACAGCCTCTTGACAAGGAGGTAGAGGGACCTACATTACTCCTATATCAGGAAACCAGTTTCTTGTCAGGTATCTTTCTAAAGTTATATATATTCCTTATATAAAACCCATTATAGAAACTCCCTCCATTCCATTCATGCCAAAGGAAGAACACAATAGGACAGATCTAGACAACAGGATTTAAACAAAAGTGTGAAGTAACTTCTTTCTGGGAATAGACAGATAACAAGAGGAAATCCTGGCCAAATGATCAAAAAGAGCTGCCAAAATGTCAGTGAAGAACTGCAAAGAAAGAATCTCACACTGGGATTGCAGCATGCAGTTTCTAGGAAAGGTGAAAGACTACGCACATACCAGAAAACTGCTAAATTCCAGAAAGCAGTAAGTATATCTTTCTACAAATGAAGTTGGGGCTAAGTGACATAGGGTAAAAAATAAAAGGATATATCAAGACACAATGTCTGAAAAGGGTACTTGAAGGTACAGACTGCCATTCTCTCTGTCCTACATTACAACATCCACACCCTGCTTAATACTTCCAAGAGATGGGTAATTCCATAACTTTTACAAGGTCTCTCCATTTTCAGGCTAAAATATTAATGCTAAAACCTATTTCCTTTTATTGAAAACAGTGTATCTCCCACTGAGTTGTCTCTTAAAGTCTCATGTCAATTCCTCTTCCCAATTATTCTTCAGTAATTTCACTTAATTCAAGACTTACTAAAAGCTAAAGTAAACAAGACAGTATGGCACTGGCATAAAAGTAGCAATAAATTAATGCAATAAATATAAATATATATAAATATAATATGTGATATATGTAATTACATAGATTAAAATATATACAATCCTTACACCATATGCAAAACTTAACTTGAAATTAATTATGAATAAAACTAAATATAAAAGCTAAAACTATACAACATCTAAAAAAACAGTAAAAAAATCTTAGTGACCTTGGGCTAGGCAAAATGATAAAAAGCGTTAAGTTTAAAAGAAAAAAAAAAAATAGCCCCGGAAGATGACTGGTTAGCCAGAGATGGGTAAGATTACTCAAGGGAGGAACAACCTAAGACAGGCACAGTTGCAGGGGGGCCATCAGGTGAGAAAATGGGGATCAACAGAGGTGAGGCTTAGAACCTCCCCTCCACCCCCCCGTTCTGGGAGAAATCTGCTGCATCCGTGGATGTTTTAATGCCCTTGTCTACCTTGGATTAACACATAGTCTACAGGCACACACTTGATCATCTACATTTGCTCTCTTACAACACTAAACTATGTTTTCTACCTTTATTTTGCATCTACCTACCACTTCAGCATTTTATTAAAAATAATAATAATAAAGAGAGAAATGTGGTATCCACATATAAATCAAGTATAAAAATCAAACGAATATTCATATTTGAATTGACTGTTTATAGTTCATAATGCATGATCAAAACCGAAAGTCTCTGTGATGACTGCCCTTGTACTATTCACCATGTAACTTATTCACTATGTAAGAATTTGTTCTCCATGTAAGAACTTGTTCGTTATGCTTCAGAAGATTGGAGGCTGACGAAAATTAGGCTTGGGGTGGATTAATGATTATACATTGAGCATTGAGTCCCCTATACACAATTTTATTGTTGTTAACAACCATTTGCTCAATAAATAGGAGAGATGCCCTCACAAAAAAAAAAAAAGTACACACTTCCAATTGTAAAATAAATAAGTAACTGAGATGTAATGTATACCATAATGAATATAGTCAAAATATTGTAACAACTTGGTATGGTGATAGCTGGTACCTAGAATTATCATGTATATAAATGTTCAATCACTGTGTTGTACACCTGAAACTAATGTAATACTGTGTGTCAACTACCCTTCAATAAAAAATAATTATCTAAAAAAAAAAAAGCTGATTAAGTAAAAAAAAAAAAAAAAATAGACTAGACTTAGAATTTAAAACATGTGTTCCTCAAAAGACACTATTAGAAGGCAAGCCATAGATTAGGAGGAAATATTTGCAAAACATATCCAAAAAGACTGATAAAGGATTATAATAAATCTCAAAACTCAGTAGTAACAAACAACCCACATTTTAAATTAGACAAAAGATTTGAACAGACATTTCATAAAAAAAAAATACAGGTGGCAAATAAGGAAATAAAAAGATGCTCCTTATCATTATCATCAGGAAAATGTTAATTAAAACCATAATGAGATACCATGATACACACACTAGATAGCCTAAAATTTAAAAATCTGACAATACCAAGTGTTGATATGGACATAGAGCAACTAGAACTCTTATAACTGCTGGTGAGAATGCAAAATGGAACAACCACTTTGGGAAACAACTTGGCAAATTCTTACAAAGTTAAACATATACTTATCATGTGTTCTAGGAACTAGCCTTCTGAGTATTTACTCCAGAGAAATGAAAACTATATCCACACAAATACATGTACATGAATAATTGTAACAAATTCACTGGGTGGGATCCAAAAGTCTCACTAATAACAAGACACTCATCTCACCTTTATGCCTCTGAAGCATTTTCAGGAACTATTCATGAAGGCCAAATAAATGTTTCTTATAAATCCTTGTATCTCACCCAGTAACTTTGAGAGTGATTGTATGTTGGGAGATAGAAGTTTGCTTAATCCACATTTTTTTAAATCTGCACCAATATGACAAGGCATTACCTTATGTCAATCTAGGTAGTGAATACAAACATATGCAATATATTATTATTCTCTATACATTTTTTTAAAAAATTTTTATTCCTTCAGTAAAAAAATGTGGCATATATACACAATGGAATACTACTCATCCATAAAAAAATGAAACCTTAACATTTGTGACAAGATGGATGGACCTAGAGAGTATTATGCTGAGTGAAATAAACCAGGCAGAGAGAGACAAATACCATGTGATTTCACTTATATGTGGAATCTAAAAACAAAACAAATCAACACAGAGAGGAGAGGAGAGTCAGAAGAAGGACAAAAAAGGTAAAGGGAATAAAAGGTACAAACTTCTAATTATAAAATAAATTAGTTATGGGGATGAAAGTACAACACAGAGAATATAATCAATAATATAATTTCTTTGTATGCTGACAGACGAAAACTACACTTATCATGGTGAGCACTGAATAATGTAGATAATTGTCAAATCACTATGTTGTACACCTAAAACCAGTATTATGTATAAACCATATTTTAGTTTAAAAAGTCAATAAAACAAATACTATGTTATATTGCACAAAAGATGGATATCTCAAAAAAATTTTTGTTCTTGCAGACAACATGGTCATCTATGTTAAACAGATGACATGATCAACTGTGTAAAAAATTCAAGAAAATCAACCAAAAAACTCCTGGAAATCACAATAGGTTGCAGAATACAAGGTTAATGTACAAAAGTCTATCACTTTCCTATATACCAGCAATGAACAAGTGAAATTTGAAATTAAAAACACATAACTGAAGGGGAAGAAAGATGGTGGTGTGAAAAGTAAGGCAGAAATCTCTCCCAAAACCACATATAATATGAAAATACAGCAAATACAGCTATTCCTAAAAGAGTGACCATGAGTAAGATTGCACCAGCCAGTATACATCTGGGAAAAGAGAACAGAAAATCTACATCACTGAAAAGGGTAAAGTAACAAAGCTGCAACCCAGTGGGACCCAAGCAATCCCCCAATCCCAGTTCACTGGTGGGAGGAAAAGAAACAGAGCAGGAAGGGAGCGCAGGACTGCTAAATACCCAGCCCTAGAAATATGCTCTGGGAGCACAAACCCACATTGCATGGTGCTCTGGAGATCACAGGGCTTGAAAAGCAAAGTCAGTGATAGATTCCAGCTTCTTGTGGAGAAAAGGCTCCCACAACCAGCTGCTCTGGGACAAAAGAAAGACGGGCACTTGGAAAGACTTCCCAACAGTGAGAGGGCTGCTAAAGGGACACAGATTAAACAGAGCTTGCTGCTCAGGAGTAGAAACAGGTGACAGACTCAGCTCAGCAGGTTGGGAACTTTCAGGAGCTTCAGGCGCTCCATCTCCCTGGCTGGCAATGCAGTCCGGAGGCCCCCCACTGTGATAAGCACCCTGCCGCTCCTTCTTCCCTTCAGGTACTTGCATGCAAACCCAATGCTCCCGCCATCGCTCCAGACCAACGGTGGGGCAGCCCCACCTACAGCAACTACAGCAGCTTAACACAGAGGTTGCTCCTTGCGTGTGCAGCTCACTGGCCCTGACAGTGGAGGGAGGAACTGAGGCTGGGTACATGAAAGAGCTCTATTCTACCGGCAGCTACCAGCACCAATCGCCTGTGACACCTGCCATGGCTCCAGGTCACCAGGAGGGCAGCACCCCCTATGGCAGCTTAGGGGCTTAATGCAGAGGCTGCTACATGCATGAGGCTCACTGGCCCTGACACTGGAGGCTGGCTCTGTAGCCAGAAAGAAGGAAAGAGCTTGCCCATGCATTCATTTTAGGAGACTTCAACACACCACTCACTCCAAAGGACAGATCAACCATACAGAAAATAAAGACACAAAGGCACTAAACAATATATTGAATAGATGGACCTAACAGACATCTATAGAACACTCCTCCAAAAGCAACAGGATACAAATTCTTCTCGAGCTCATGGAACATTTTAAAGAACAGATCACATACTAGTCCACAAAAAGAGCCTCAGTAAATTCAAAAAGATTGAAATTGTACCAACCAACATCTCAGATCACAAAGGTATGAAAACAGAAATAAATTGTG